AGTTAGAATGGCGATCATTAAAAAATCTGGAGACAACAGATGCTGGAGAGGATGTGGAGAAAAAGGAACACTTTTACACTGTTGGTGGGAGTGTAAATTAGTTCAACCATTGTGGAAGACAGTGTGGCGATTCCTCAAGGCCTTAGAAATAGAAATTCCATTTGACCCAGCAATCCCATTACTGGGTATATATCCAAAAGACTATAAATCGTTCTACTATAAGGACACATGTACACGAATGTTCATTGCAGCACTGTTTACAATAGCAAAGACCTGGAATCAACCAAAATGGCCATTGATAATAGACTGGATTGGAAAAATGTGGCACATATACACCATGGAATATTATGCAGCAATCAGAAATGATGAGTTTGTGTCATTTGTAGGGACATGGATGAATCTGGAGAACATCATCCTCAGCAAACTGACACAAGAACAGAAAATGAAACACCGCATATTCTCACTCATAGGTGGGTGATGAAAAATGAGAACACGTGGACACAGAAAGGGGAGTACTAAACACTGGGGTCTATTGGGGGGAAAAGGGGAGGGCCAGTGGGAAGGGGAGGTGGGGAGGGATAGCCTGGGGAGAAATGCCAAATGTGGGTGAAGGGGAGAAGGAAAGCAAAGCACACTGCCCTGTGTGTTCCTATGCAACTGTCTTGCATGCTCTGCTCATGTACCCCAAAACCTAAAATCCAATAAAAAATTTTTAAAAAAATGGCAAAAGGGATTTTACAGTTGTCTGCAAATTAAGAATCTTGAGATGGGGAGATTAAGCTGGATATCTGGGTGTCCCAATTTAATCATGAGACCCTTATAAGGACTTCCTTATAAGAGAAAAGGAAATCTGAGTCAAAGAGATGTGGACAATGGAAGCAAAGGGTCAGAGAGAGAGAGAGAGAGAGAGAGAGAGAGAGAGAGAGAGAGAGAGAGACTCTGGAGGATGCTACATCACTGTTTTTGAATATGGAACCACACCAAGAATGCTGGTGACCTCTTAAAGCTAGAATATGAAAGTACCTGAGTTCTTCCATGGAGCCTTCAAAGAAACGCAGCCCTGCTCACCCACTTGAAGAATTTTGACCTCCAGAATTGTAAGAGGACAAATCTGTGCTTTTTTTTTGAGCCACTGAATTGGTGGCCATTTGTTATAGCAATACAAAACTGTTACACGTGCGTGATACACACAAATATGTTTCCCCTTTGCAGCACCATGGATACAGCTGGAGGTCATTATCCTAAGTGAATTAACATAGCAACAGAAAACCAAATACTGCATGTTCTCACTTATAAGCAGGAGATAAACACTGGGTAAACATGGACATCAACATGGTAACAATAGACACTGGGGACTACTAGGGTGGGGAGGATGATAAGGGGGTTAGGGTTGAAAAACTAGCTTTAAGGTACTATGCTCACTGCCCGGGTGATGGGATCATTCATACACCAAACCTCAGTGACATGTAATTTACCCAGGTAATAAACCTGCACATGAAACCCTGAACCTAAAAGTCAAAAACAAACCAACAAACAAACACATTTTTACTCGAATAAAAGATTTTTAAATTGGGTTATTTATATGTCATATTTATAGCAGTCCCATTGAGGAGATGAACTCAAAGTACTCCAAAGACCTTACGTTTCTTCAGAGACTTTCAAGATGCCTACTAGCTATAAGCTAAAATCTTTTACAAATTAAAAATGAAGGCTAGATTTAGAGAGCAGAATTTCATGAAGATGTTGATATCAAATGGTCAGGTTCTAAGAAGGAAAAGGATATAGCAAATACAGGGCATCTGAGTTTCCAATCCAGCAATGAGCTGGTACAAGCACCGTTTGTACCTATTTAAGTTAGTCTGGTCCATGCTAGGAACCTTATCACACCATCTTAACAATCTGACAAGGCCACACTGTTAATTAATTTCTGGTTCTATAATTTACTAAACTGAAGCCAATATGAATCCAAGACACATGCTGTCAATGGTCTACCATCCAGCTTCCGATCTATTCACTATAAGAATTTTGTGTTCATTTTCCTTGCCCTGTTCACTCCCTGATGGATACTTGAATGCACTTATAAATTGAATTCGGTGTCAATGTATTCTTTTTTTCAACTTTTTTTTTTTTTAAGATAGAGTCCATCAACTTTCTTCACAGAACTGGAAAAAACCACCATGAACTTCATATGGAACCAAAGGGAGCCCCATAGCCAAGTAAATTCTAAGCAAAAAGAACACAGCGGGAGGCATCACACTACTGAACTTCAAACTATACTACAAGGCTACACTAATCAAAACAGCATGGTACTGGTACCAAAACAGAGATATAGACCAATGGAACAGAACAGAGGCATCGAAGGCAACACAATATATCTACAACCATACACTCTTTGATAAAACTGACAAAAACAAGCAATGGGGAAAGGATTCCCTGTTTAATAAATGGTGTTGGGAAAACTGGCTAGCCATGTACAGAAAGCAGAAACTGGACCCCTTCCTGACACCTTACACTAAAATTAACTCCAGATGGATTAAAGACTTAAACATAAGACCTGGCACCATAAAAACCCTAGAAGAAAATCTAGGCAAAACCATTTAGGACACAGGAGTAGGCAAGGACTTCATGACCAAAACACCAAAAGCATTGGCAACAAAAGCCAAAATAGACAAATGGGACCTAATCAAACTCCACAGCTTCTGCACGGCAAAAGAAACAGTCACTACAGTGAATCGGCAACCAACAGAATGGGAAAAAAGTTTTGCAGTTTGCCCATCTGACAAAGGGCTGATATCCAGAATTTACAAAGAACTCAAACAGATTTACAGGAAAAAAACAAACAAGCCCATTCAAAAATGAGCAAAGGATATGAACAGACACTTTACAAAAGAAGACATACATGAGGCCAACAAACATATGAAAAAATGCTCATCATCACTGGTCATTAGAGAGATGCAAATCAAAACCACACTGAGATACCATCTCACACCAGTTAGAATGGTGATCATTAAAAAAATCTGGAGACAACTGATGCTGGAGAGGATGTGGAGAAATAGGAACACTTTTACATTGTTGGTGGGAGTGTAAATTAGTTCAAGCATTGTGGAAGACAGTGTGGTGATTCCTCAAGGCCTTACAAATAGAAATTTCATTTGACCCAGCAAACCCATTACTGGGTATATGTCCAAAGGACTATAAATCGTTCTACTACAAGGACACATGCACACGAATGTTCATTACAGCACTGTTTACAATAGCAAAGACCTGGAACCAACCCAAATGCCCATCCATGATAGACTGGACTGGGAAAATGTGGCACATATACACCATGGAGTATTATGCAGCAATCAGAAATGATGAGTTCATGTCGTTTGTAGGGACATGGATGAATCTGGAGAACATCATTCTCAGCAAACTGACACATGAACAGAAAATGAAATACCACATATTCTCACTCATAGGCGGGTGAGGAAAAATAAGAACACATGGACATGGGGAAGGCCATACTACACACTGGGGTCTATTGGGGGGAATAGGGGAGAGACAGCGGGAGGGGAGGTGGGGAGGGATAGCCTGGGGAGAAATGCCAAATGTGGGTGAAGGGGAGGAAGGCAGCAAAACACACTGCCGTGTGTGTACCTACGCAACTATCTTGCACGTTCTGCACATGTACCCCAAAACCTAAATTGCAATAAAAAAAATCAATTAATTGTAAAACTGAACTACAGTTCAAGTTAACCATTACAGAGATTGAAACATTCTTTGGAGATAAAATGCAAAGAATTTCTCACCACTTACTAATTAAACTAATGGTAATAACAATAATTTTATTAATATTTTATTTTTACTTTGAAAACTGTAATATAGCTATATAATTTTCCTAGTGATGTGTTACAAATATCCATTAAATATCAAACTATGCCAAATTTGAGAATCTCATAAATGAAAAATACAGGAACTGAAACCAGAAACACTTGAGTTCAAATTTCAGCTCTGTAACTTATTTTTGTAATTTTTGGCATATCTCTTTCTGTTCCTCAGTTTCTTCATCTACAGTATAGAAACAACATCAATTATGCCTAAAGGCAGTTAAATATATGAGAAATATATATTTATAATACTTAGTACAGCTTCAAGGCATACAGCAAATCTCAGGAGTAGGTTATTATCATGAGATTAGTATTCGGTATTATTAATTTTATTATTTCACTTATGCCTGGAGGACAGGAGTTGTTTCTTGGTCTAGTTTCTTTGTATAACTTCCTTCCCTGCAGTTTTAGTTCTTAATATATATGATATGTATACAGGAATAAATATGTGAGAAGGTTTTATCTACAAGTAGTAATGGCATTCTCTTTCTATTTCCCAAACTCTCTTTCTATTATAATTTTACCCTGAGGGGCATCGACCCTCTATCCTAAGTCCATATGAAAGTAAAAAGTTAAGGAAAAAGTCAACTTCTTAACTAGAGAAAGATTCTTTTCTTGGAGATATGCTTCCAGTGCCTGTTACCTGACAATCTTGTATTCTATCTGCAAGACCCTAGGTAAGGCAGAGCCCAGAAGAATGGAAGAAAAGATAACTCATTTATTAATTCAACAATAGTTTTTGGGGCCGGGCGCGGTGGCTCAAGCCTGTAATCCCAGCACTTTGGGAGGCCGAGGCGGGTGGATCACGAGGTCAAGTGATCGAGACCATCCTGGTCAACATGGTGAAACCCCGTCTCTACTAAAAATACAAAAAATTAGCTGGGCACGGTGGCGCGTGCCTGTAATCCCAGCTACTCAGGAGGCTGAGACAGGAGAATTGCCTGAACCCAGGAGGCGGAGATTGCGGTGAGCCGAGATTGCGCCATTGCACTCCAGCTTGGGTAACAAGAGCGAAACTCCGTCTCAAAAAAAAAAAAAAAAAAAAAAAAAAAAAAAAAACAATAGTTTTTGTATCTACTATATACCTGAAACTTTTTTAAACCTAAAGGATAAATCCATAAAGAAAGCAAATAAAAACCACTGCCCTATTAAGTTTATACTGAAATGCAGGGAGGAAATTTCAACATGCTATTACAGGATGTGGAAGCAAAAGGAAAAATCCCAGTGGAAAGAAGACCCTCTTAATCCAAGGAAACAGAAACCAGAGTGGTAGGCACTCTGAGAATGGTTTGGATACCATGATGAATTCACTTGTAGACCACGTGCTTTGGAACAGTCCTGACTATTTGAAAGCCTGCTGAAACAAAGACAGGGAATTGGAACTCTCTATGTGATCATCAAAGAATAGAAGTGAGAAAAACTACGGGGAGAATTTCTTTAAGAATGAGACAGTGGGGGATCCACCATAACTGCTGCAATCTCACTGATAAGATAAGAACATACTGCTCCTCACCACTCTTCTCCCACTCTATTCTTTCTCACATAAAAAAAAGAGAAAGAAATATGATTAAAAAAAAAAAAAGACAGAGTCTTGCTCTGTCGCCCAGGCTGAAGTGCAGTGGCATGATCTCGGCCGCTGCAATTTCTGCCTCCTGGGTTCAAGCAATCCTCCTGCCTCAGCCTCCTGAGTAGGTGGGACTACAGGCACATGCCACCACGCTGGCCAATTTATATATTTTTAGTAGAGATGGGGTTTCACCATATTGGCCAGGCTGTTGTTGAACTCTGAACCACATAATCTGCCTGCCTCAGCCTCCCAAAGTGCTGAGATTACAGGTGTGAACCACCATGCCCACCTGGTATTCATTCTTTAAGTTCTATCTTTCTCCCTTTCTGGTCCACACTTAAGTTCGTATCTCTTCTCCATACACCCTGTTTTTGCACTGGTGCTATGATGGGTTAACACTCCAGTCCCATTATCACAATGGGGTAATCCAAAGATCACCTTTCTTTTATGAACAGATTTATACCTGCTCTGCCATCAGCCTTCAACCATCAGGGACCTGCTTCAAGCCCCAGACTTCCACTAGGGTGTTACATTTTAAAGGGCCACATGTAGCTAGAAAAAGGCAAACCAGGGTCTTTATTTTAATGTCCTGCCTTACTGTCCAAAAATAAAACACTGTCCTAAGATCACATAAGACAATTGCACTAATAAACCCAGTAAGGATAAGAAATAATGTCCTTTTCAAATAAAATGAATCATTTTTCCCTCCTTTAAAATTCAAAAGGAGAATCACAGGTTCATGTTAAAGACTCCATGCTTCATTATTTTTAAAGCTGTAATAATCACTTGTAGCCAACAGACAACTCACTTGTCTCCAAATTACAATTCAATAATTAGGGTAAAGTTTCAGCACCAAATATTTATATTCCACTCAATAATTGCTTTAATTATATACAGATATCTTCAATTGCTCAACTCTTGGTATATGTAGTATGTGTAAACCTAAAAGCCATATTGAGATGTGAGAAAACCTTATTTTACTTTGCAAAGGCATGATCCATGCCATAAAAACAAAAACTATCTTATACATCATTCTGTGGGGAACAGTCTTGATAATTTTAGAAAAATAAGTATGCAAATTCTGGGAAGCTGCAGGAAAAAATGCCATCTTCTACATTAAATGAGAACACTGATGTGAAAATGTGTTTGAAATCATAGTTAAATAAATTGTAGGTGTTATTATTAGCATTAGAAAGACTTCTAGAGCTTGTAAGAAGCCAAATTTTCAAAGCCCCAATAGCCAAAAATTCAGTTACATCTTTAAAATGTCATTCCAGGCTTGAGATTTCTCTCTGCAGTGAAGCTCAAAAGTCTTTCCTTTAATCAGACTGAATAAAATCCTGTTGACCTACTTTCAGATTCATCAGAAGGACTGTAGCTATTTTGCTGAGGTCCCTTTCTTAATTATTATATTACTGATCTATTTCTAGGTAACACATTATCCCCAGACTTAGTAGCTAACAACAATATACATTTATTATTCAACAATCCCTATGGGACAGGAATTTGGGAGCAGTTTGGCTGTGTGGTTCCAGCCAATGACCTCTAATGAGGTTGCGGTCACGATATCAGCAGAGGAACAGTGCCTACTCCTCCAGTGACTCACTCGCTTGCCTGACTGTCAGGAGGTCTCAGTTCCTTGTCATTCAACCGTCTATATAAAGTTGCATTCATGTCCTTACAACATGGCAGTTGGTTTCTCCAGAGCAAGCGATCCAATAGAAATCTAGACAGAAGTATCACATATCTCAGCCTTGGAAGTCACTACCATTTTCTTTTGGTTACACGGATCAGCTCAATTCAGTATGGGAATTACACAAGGGTGGGCCTACAAGGCGGCAGGGATCGTTGGAGGCCTTCTTAGGAGCTGACAACCACAACTGTGAAATTCTGATGACCCATATGTATTAGCAAGCTAGTGCTGCCATAACAAACTACCGCAGATTGGATGACTTCAACAACGGAAATTTTTTTCCTCACAATACTGGAGGCTAGAAGTGTGAAATCAAGGTGCTGGCAGCCTTGGTTTCTTCAGAAGCCTCTCTCCTTGACTCACAAATGGCCTTTGTGTCTTCACAAATTCTTTCTTCTGTGTGCGTCTGTGTCCTTATCTCTTCTTCTTACAAGAACACCACTTATGGCCAGGCGCAGTAGCTCAGGCCTGTAATCCCAGCACTTTGGAAGGCAGAGGCAGGCAGATTGCCTGAGATCAGGGGTTCAAGACTAGTCTGGACAACATAGCGTAACCAACCCCATCTCCTAAAAATACAAAAAGATTAGCTGGGCATGGTGGCATGTGCCTGTAATCCCAGCTACTCAGGAGACTGAGGCAAGGGAATTACTCGAACCTGGGAGGTGGAGGTTGCAGTGTGTTAAGATTGCATCACCGCAGTCCAGCCTGGGTGACAACAGAGCGAGACTCCAACTCAAAAAAATAAGAACACCAGTTATATCCACCTTAATGTCTTCATTTTAACTTAATTGCCTCTTTAAAACCCCTAACTCCTAATACAGTCACATGCTGAGGTACTGAAGGTTAGGACTTCAACATGAAAATTTGGAAGAGTATGTACAATTCAGCCACAAATCCTGTTATCTGCCACCTTCTTCACTACAGGTGTTCTTTGTTCTTGGTCTTATAAAAGAAAATATCTGTGCTGCTTACTCAAGAATTCCATGTACCTTTTAACAAATAGCGTGCAAATAACTACTTCTTATCTATCTACATAGGCTTCAGAGGGCAAGTTCTGAGAAGGTAAGAACTAACCTCAAATTCCTTCTCATGAACGGCAGTTCTCCCTCTGTGACCCAGCTCCTGATGACAGCCCCAACCTACTTCCATGCCACTCCACCTGCTGGCTCCATTCCAGCCTTTTTGCTGCCTCTCTAACACCCGAGGCCCGGTGCCCTGCAGGGCCTTTGCTCTTCTCTCTTTGTGTTGTTCATCTGCTACATTGCAGCTGGCTCCCTCACCTATTCAGGACTCTGCTCCATAAATGGTTCCTCTTCAGAGAGACCTTCCTTGACCACATACTCTATTACAATCTTTCTCAGCCTCTTCAGATATTCTGATTTGTCAGCACTGAACATGTCACTATTCAGTACAGTATTATGTGTTGTTCATGCTTTATTGTCTGTCTCCCACACTAGACCAGGAGGCCCACGATCATGGAAGCTTTAACCTGTTCACTATGTATCACGAGTGCCTAGCACATAGTGGGTAATCAATGCATTTATTTGTTGAATAAATGAACAAATGACTACATCATTTAGGTTACTTTGGGCAGTCGGACAGATGGAACAGATAAAGATGAATTAAGGTGGTGTCTATGTTTTATGATATACTTCTTACAGAGTTTCTGATCACCAATAGGATACATTTCTTGCTTTGGTGATATAATTTCAGTAAATTGCTTTAATTAAATTGGAAATTGGCAGGAAGTGTTTGTTTTCTTTAGATGTGGGACTCTGAGACTCAGATATTATATCTGCAATGTTGCAAAGTCAAACACACAAATGGGTGCCAATCTGGATGTTTCCCAGAAGTTCTCAATATTGAAAAACTCAAGTTTCTAGACTTGCAAAGGGCTCTCTGTAGATGCATACTGCTTATGTATTATCCCAGGCTATCCATGATGGCAGAAAATAATTCTTTATTCTAATGAGATAGTATATAAACCTAGGATCAAGCTTATAATATGCTTCATAACTTCCTTTATTTGTTGTACATTAGTTTCTTACCTGAAAGGCAAATTGTGGGCCTGTAGAATAATTTGTATCTATGGTGGTAACAGAAGTTTAAGTAGCTCCACAACTTTCTATGGTCTACTGATGCCATGTAATAAGTTAACAGGCATAACTTACAAAAAACATTTTTGGGGACATGCAAATTAACTGTCTCCATTCTTCAATGTGTTGTCTACTATGTGTTGTAGGAAAGCTCTGAAATTTAGAGCTCCTGATTTCCAGTGTTAGATCCACAACCTTCCCCATGTATGGATTGTGATAAGTCATTTAAATTCTCTGGACATTTGTTTTCTTATCAAAATATCAAGTTGTGATTTTCAATCTATACTCTATATCCTTTCTTTTAATTCTAAAATCCTATGATTTATATCTCCTCTTTCTCTTCCCTCTTCTTCTCTCTTCTCTCCCCACACCACCCTTTACCTGCCCCACATTTGTAGAAGGAAATAAAAACCAGGAGCAGGAAAAGTTTAGGAAAAGCAACGGTAAGTAAATAGTCTTATTTCACTTAATAGGAATAGAAAGAAAGGTACTTAACTATGCATACCTATTCAACTGCTGTTCTGCAAACCTCCATAGACTCCTTTGAAGATGAATGATCACACTTCAGGTCCTAAGAGGTCATAAGATACATCTCTGCTTACTGTCCAAACTGAAAGAAATTATGCACCACTCCCTTCAATAAATATATCTGCTAAGATAATTGTAGGCATATGCTTTCAAACCTATACATATGCAGGTATATGAAAAATGAAACAAGCCAGGCTTGGCAGCTCATGCCTGTAATCCCAGTACCTTGGGAGGCTGAGGTGGGTGGATATGCTGAGGTCAGGAGTTTGAGACCACCCTGGCCAACATGGTGAAACCCCCATCTCTACTAAAAATACAAATATTAGCCAGGTGTGGTGGTCTGCACTTGTAATTCCAGCTGCTCAGGAGGCTGAGGCAGGATAATTGCTTCAATCTGAGAGATGAAGGTTTCAGTGAGCCAAGATTACTGTACTCCAGCCTGTGCAATAAAGCAAGACTGCCTACAAAAAGAAGGGAAGGAAGGAAGGAAGGAAGGAAGGGAGGGAGGGAGGGAGGGAGGGAGGGAGGGAGGGAGGGAAAAGAAAACTATCTGCTAAAATAAAAGCAGGTATATATTGAAATAGTTTGATACTGATACGTACAAGAAATAGGTATAATTAAGCTGTGTTCTTTTGATACTTAATTCAAAATCTTGATCAATTCAGAGACTTAATATGATCTTAAACATTCTTTGCTTTTTTTCTGAAGAAGATGATAACATAAACGCATTTCTAAAGTATGACCAATATGATCTCAACATTTTCCTACATGATATCCTCCAGAAATATTCCCTTCTTGGCATTTTAAGTAGTGTTTCTTTATCCAGGTACATTGTTTCAGAAACCTATTTTATTTTCCTACAAAGTGGCTGGGGGTAAAAAGGGTGTAGATCGCAGCAGAAAGCCCACATTTTCCACTTGTATTTATTAGATGGTCTAGAAAATAAATTTTATTTAAGTCCTGAGTACTGCTGAGAAGGTTTAATTTTTTTTAAAGTTTGACAAAATTTTTAATTTAAATATTATTCTACCAAGCAGAAAAATCAAAACACTCCTAAATAGTGCTTGGCAGATTTTTCACCTTCATATTCCTCCTTAAAGAGTGTCTCAGTCTGTTTTGTGCTGCTATAACAGAATACCTGAACTGGGAAACTTATAAAGAATATAAATTTATCTCTCATAGTTTTGGAGGCTGGGATGTCCAAGATCAAGGCACTGTCATTCATTCTGATGAGGGCCTTCTTGCTGCTTCCTTACATGACAGAAGGCAGAAGGAGGAGCTAGCTGAATGCTGTGCGAAGCCTGAAGCCTCTTTTATTAAGGGCCTCAATCCTATTAATTACGAAGATTCCCTGATAGCCCTCATTCCCACTTAAAGGCAGTGTCTCTTAATACTATGGCAATGGCAACACCTGAATTTTGAAGGGGACACACTGAAACTATGGCAGAGGGTATAGGGTATATTTGTGAAACTTCTGATTATTCACTACAATAAAGAATTGGGTGAAATTCAACTTTTTTTTTAAATCAAAGTAACATCTTTTCTGCATTTCTAGAATGTAAAATTTTTTTTTGTGAAGTAAGCAGCAGTATCATTAAATTATTAGGACATCCATTTTCTTCTCAGTAAATCTACTTTTATTCCATCTCACACAGATCATGAATAATGCCTGTCAAAGGTGATGTCTGATTTTTCAAAGATAAAGTCTGGCTTCCGTCTCTACACATCATTCTCTAACTCAGCTGAAATTATTACTCTCTCTGCCTGCTCCAAGAGATACACACATTGATGTCAGATAATTTATCAGTTCTCCCATAGGAGAAGGAGCAGGCTACGGTGTCCCCCTATTTGATGTTATGGAGCCCTCAGTTAATTTTGGCCAGCCCTCTTCCTTATCTCTCAGGTTTCAGTTTTTCTCAAGTACCTACTGCTCCAAAGTGAAATTTTTTTTTCATCAATATCTACTGACTAAGGAAACCCTCTTTCTGGAGTGTTTATGTTTAAACATTATCAATATAAAATTTGATATGATGCATCTTTATCCTTCAAAGCACATTTACTTGTTAACAGGGTCTTATCATTGTAATGCATTTGTAACTGATAGAACTTTAAGCATTCAGGTCATGGAAGGTTGTCAAGAAAACTTAGGAATACATTTAAGGATAAAGGGGATCTACTCGGTGCTATTTAAATCACATGATACAAAGAATCATCTACTCTTTACCTGTGGGAGGTATTTGGGCTTTGTCTCTCCCTAGTATACCTCAAAAGTACTAATGTTTCTTTTGGATAATACTTTTGAAAAATCACCAACCCTTGTCCTAAGTGGTGTTAATATTCTTGACACAGTACTCTTCCAACTCTGCCAGCTGTTCCCAAAACAGAAATCTCACACCGGAATATTCCAAAGGTGCATATGACTAGGTCAGTTCAAATGCATCATGTTCTTGAGATCACCTTCCCTTGAAGAAGAAGAAAACCAGCATTTTAAAACTCTGGCACTACAAATCCAACGTGGAATATTAACATTTCATGCAGCGAAATTTAGCAACATTAATACATTTTTAGTGATATAACTTCCCAAACCAAAATAGAAGAACAAGTTTACTACTACAATTTTTGGTGTTTTGAAAAGTTTCTCACAGATAAACACTTCAAAACACATAATTCTTACAATGTAAATATTTTAGGGCACTTCTGAATTCTAAAAAAATATTAAATTATTTTCACTATAGTTCAATATTCTATTGAAAATATACCTTCTTGATCTGAGGATTTCTTAAAATCATTAAAGAATAGTTTGAAAATAATAAATTTCACTAAAAGTATGAGCAGAAATTTAAAACAAAACCACCTTTTTTCCTCAAAAGTCATGAGTCCAAAGAAGTAGTACCTTAGTTATAAAAAACATATTTCCCTGTTTCATGCGATGTAAACTCAGAACGTAACTCAATAGAAAATGGAATATACCGTTTATTCCTTAGAAGAGTACTGCTATATGCACTTCATAGAATGAGTAATTTGTTAATGAGCTTTCTTTTATCTCTTAAAAAACGGGAAATTAAATAGGGATGGGGAAAACATGCCTTTATGTAATTTATTGATTTCATTTAAATGTATCAAAGTACTTACACCAAAATTTGGTACACATTGGTATAAGCGTACCAAATATAATAGGTGGGCATTGAAACTAATTTATATCACTACCCTAGAGTGTCATTAATTGTAATTTTCAAAGATTGCTTTGCCTATTTAGGTCTTTGTTGAAAAAAAGAAATTTCATTAGAAAATGAAATTAATTAGGGCAGCCTGCAGAATTTATTCACAACATTTGCTACCTAAGAATTTATTCACTTGAAATGTTTCATTCTTTTGTCAAGAATTAACTAAGGAAACCTTATGGCATCTAAATATAGCTAAGAGGGATAATTTAATGCATCCTGAAATTTATTACATAAATGTAGTTTCTTTCCCTCTGAAACCAGATGAGATCTATATGTACCACTCTTTTGCACCTGTGCCAGATTCTTTAAGTGTATTTTGTAAATTACAATTTTTTAACATTGAATCATTATTTTGATTCTGTTAGGGAAATGTTAGGGAAAAATCAAATAATTGATAATTTGATAATCTTCAAAATGAACATTAGAAGAGAGACTAGCTAGATTTCAAGTTCCTAGAGGGCAAGAACTATGCCGTGTTTATCTGTTTATCTCCTGCGTTCCATTTACTAGAGTAAGCAATAAACAAGTGTTGTCTTGATTGAATTAAAGAAAAAATGTATTGTAACTCTAGCCATGACTATTAGCAACAGGATACATTATTATTACCACATAGCTTTGCTCATTAGTTTGCTGTGTTTTATCCAAGTCTATATTAACTCTGATAACACATAGTTCATGAAAGCGTCAATACAACTTTAAATGTTTGTATCAAACAGCCAGAATCACTTAAAATAGCAACAAATACACCTTCTCCTATTGGAACAAAGATAGCAATTTTTAAAAATGTTTTTGTTTAAAGACTTTCATAAAAACATTTTTAGTGGTGAGCTAGATTCAGGGATAGAGATTGCAAGAGAGAATAGCAATATTCAGGGAGAAAACCAAAACAAAAGAAAACAGAAGAGTCTGCTGTCTACCCATCCTAGGATTCGTGTGCTAAAAGCAATTCATAGAGTAGTATCTGGGTCATGCCAGGGATAAAATTTTAATTGAACTCTTTTGGCTCATAGTAGGATACCAAATTTTTCATGTTGAAAATTTCCTACTATGTAGATTGGGCTTTAAACTATTGGTCAATCATTACAACTTTTAGGAACATTATGTCCCTTTAAAACCCATTCTTTTTGTTGCAAATACAAAAAAACAAATGCTCTTAAAATGCTCATTTAGTTGGCTTCCAAAAGAAATGCAAGTAAAGAAAAATAACTTAAAATGATCATTTCTTTGTAGGATTTACAGCTAATAGCACAAATCTAACAGTTCATCTAAGTGCAAGATCCTCCAAGTAGACCTTGAACCTCAGGTAATTGCACACTCACCAGTTTTCCTGTTTCACACCTCTAAATTTAAAATCTTCTCTAGTGGTAAGGACTGGCACAGCTGCTGAAGCTTTCCTGGCTTATGCTTTTCGTAGCTCCTTTCCCTATGGTCCTGGTCTTTCTTAACTGAATGTAGCCAAAAAATTCAGTTGGTTCAATTGTTTTAAAAATTATTCTTAATTGAAATCTGCAACCATATAATATATTTTACAGAATACATGGGAATTCTATTATGCAATATATTAATGCTTCACAAGCTTACTAATCTATCATACTAGAAAATCTAAACTCATCTTGCAAAAAAAACCATAGAAATACACTACGTGATATATGCAGTTCCTCTTTATAATGAAAGGTCTAAGAGACCAGCTTATGTGGACTTTGTGCAAATTAATGTTGCTTCTAAATATTCCTAGGCAATATTCTAGCTCATGTGACTTTATCTGGGACATTCATTTCATCTGATATCCAGCAGCAATGCTCATTGCACCACTGGGCACCAAGAATGAGAATGACTCAGATATATTATTTCTTTTGGAACAAAGTTTTAAAACAGAAACATCACTTATTTCCATATGGGTCAACTTAGGAAATCACTGCCTCTCAATATCTTTAATATTTTTGTAGCATATAGGTATGTAAAGCAGTATTTAATCCATAAACTTCCATTGTTCTTCAGTAGGAAAAGTACCAGGCTATACACAATGTATGCTTAAGACATGGACAAGAAGGGAGGACTCAAGATGGCGCTGTGAGAACAACCCAGGATTGGAGCTCTTGTTGAATCCACAAACGGTGAGTTGGAGCTGCATTTCCAGACTGACCTTTGTTGCCCACAGAACGGGGAAACTCCCAAGTATAAAAAAGACATGGGATGCCAGGCAGTAGGTCTGCCTGGCGAAGCCGGCAGCCGAGGCGGCGGCGGCAAGCCATACCCAGCAATCCCCACAGGGCGCGCTTGTCCGGGTGCCCTGTTGAACCAGCAACCTGAGACTTGAGAGGGCTGGACTTGAGACTGAATGAGACTTGGACAGTAGGCCAGCCCAGGGGATTGCAGACACAGAGCGTTTGGGACACCCAGTGGGACGAAAAAAACTGCGATTTCAAACTATCCCAAGAAGACGGTCTGAGACGCTCTGTGAGGGAGGGGCATCCACCACTACCAAGGCAACCTGCCCCAACTGAGATACACGCCCACTGCTGACGCAGCCAGCCATTGCCGAGGCAACCCATCCCTACTGAGATACACGCCCACTGCTGACGCAGACTGCCACTGCTGAGGCAACATGCTACAACGAAGAGACTCCGCTGCAGGGCGTGGTGGAGACCACAGCAGAGCCTGCAGGAACAGGGCGAATCACACAACAGCAGGGTGGAGCCTCGGCAGCCAAACAGTGGCTAGTCTGCCTTCTAGCTGGGCAGGACACCTCATCGGACATCGAAAAATAAAGCTCGAACCCCCCAACACAGAGCATTTGAGAAAAAAAGGGTTTTTTTTAATGAGCTCTGTTGCAGCAGAATCAAACATAGCAGCCTAACAGCCCTGAATGAACAACAGAGCTCACAGCTCAGAAATTGAGCTCCAAAAAAGTACAGACCGTCTCCTCAAGCAGCTCCCTGACCCCTCTATATGCAAAAGACTGACATTAGGCAGGCATCATCCTGGGACAAATATAGCAGAAAAAGAAACTGGTAGCATCCCTCGCTGTTCCGCAGCCACTACAGGTGCACCCCAGACAAGCAGGGCCTGGAGTGGACCTCAGCAGTTGTACAGCGAAGGGGCTAGGCTGGTAGAAGGAAAACGAAGTAACAGAAATACTTCATCATCAACAATCTGGGTGTCCACTCAGAGACCCAATCAAAAAGTCAGCAACTACGCAGACGACAAGCGGATAAACCCACAAAGATGGGAAGAAACCAGCGCAAAAAGGAGGGAAACACCCGAAACCAGAACACCTCGCCTCCTAGAAAGGACCAAAACTCCTCACCAGCAAGGGAGTAAAGCTGGACGGAGAATGACTGTGACGAAATGACGGAATTAGACTTCAGAAGGTGGATAATGAGAAACTTTTGTGAGCTAAAAGAACATGTTTTAAATCAATGCAAAGAAACTAAGGAACTTAAAAAAAGATATGAGGAAATGACAACAAGAATGGATAACTTAGAGAGGAATATGAATGAATTAAAGAAGCTGAAAAACACAATACGAGAACTTCGGGAAGCAGGCACAAGTTTCAATAGCCGAATTGACCAAGCAGAAGAAAGAATATCTGAAGTCGAAGACCAACTTAATGAAATAAAACGAGAAACCAAGATTAGAGAAAAAAGCGCAAAAAGGAATGAACAAAGTCTCCAAGAAATGTGGGACTATGTGAAAAGACCTATTCTACGTTTGATAGGTGTACCAGAAGGAGACGAAGAGAATGAATCCAAGCTGGAAAATACTCTTCAGGACATCATCCAGGAAAACTTCCCCCACCTAGCAAGACAGGCCAACACTCAAATGCAGGAAATACAGAGAACACCACAAAGATATTCTGCAAGAAGAGCAACCCCAAGGCACATAATCGTCAGATTCAACAAGGTTGAAATAAAGGAGAAAATACTAAGGGCAGCCAGAGAGAAAGGTCGAGTTACCCACAAAGGGAAGCCCATCAGACTCACAGCAGATCTCTCGGCAGAAACACTACAAGCCAGAAGAGAGTGGGGGCCAATATTCAACATTCTTAAAGAAAAGAACTTTCAACCCAGAATTTCATATCCAGCCAAACTGAGCTTCAGAAGTGAAGGAAAAATAAAATCCTTTGCAAACAAGCAAGTACTCAGAGATTTTGTCACCACCAGGCCAGCTTTACAAGAGCTTCTAAAAGAGGCACTACACATAGAAAGGAACAACCAGTACCAGCCATTCCAAAATCA